GAAAGAAAGAAAGGAGGATCGTATGCATGGAGAATAGAAGAAGGTGAAAAACCGTGAGACGATAGGAATCGAATGCTTCTCGCTCTGCGTTTCTTGTCGAAGATCGATCGAACGGGGTGGAAAAGAAAGAAGGAAGGAAGGAAAGAAAAGAAAAGAAAGGAGGGGAAAAAAAGGAAGATATCATCGGGGTAGTATCGTAAAACTCGTTCACGTGGCAACGATCGTGGGATTGGGACGACTCTGTTGGTTTCGTCGTTCGAATTTCGAGACTCGAGGGGGAAGCTTGTGAAAAATTTTCGATTGCCTTCGAAAGTTCGCCCCGTTTTCCTAAATATTCTTAGAGTTGGAAGCGAGCGGGGAAAAGTTTGGAATTTTTCCTTTTCTTTTTTTTTTTCCTGCGGTTTATTTAAGCCGAAGAAAAATCACGAGTTTATAATTGAGGGATGTTTAACTTTCTGTTTTGAAGCCGAGGGGAGAGAAATTTATTCGAAAAGTTGAGAAGAGTAATTTCGTTGCTCTGCCGAAAGTAATTGATTCCTTTCGATATTTAACGTTTTATCCGCCCGATAAATTTCGAAGAACGAATATTTCGACAGAAATTGAAACGAAGAAAGCAGAATGAAAATCTGAAGATATCGTTTAAGATCGTTTAAGACGAAGTGTAATCGACGTATCCTTGGGGGAAAAAATTTAGTTTCGAAAGGATAATTTTATTAAAAAAAAAAAAAAAATGGAAATCTATGATGAATAAAAGTAATTAATAGACGAGCGGTATCGATTCGTTCCAATATTCCACACGTTGCAACGTGTTACTTTATATATCCACCTCCGTGGAAAATTATACATATTGGTGGCCGCATCCATTCGATAAATCTCGAATCGAGGCAATATTTCGTGGACGAGGGAGACACGCGTCCATTGAAAGTCTGTTGGGAGGGCGCGTTTACTTATTCATACGCGTGCACACGTATCCCAATCGGAACGCAATATTCAGGGACTTATGGCAATATCGCGACGCGTATTGGAGAGAGCCGCGGCAGAACCACGTGTAACCGAGTGATCGCCGAGCGAACACGTGCGCGTTACGTGCGCATCGAATCTTGAACAAACTTGAATATCGTTGGAAGTCGAGGACGCTCGATCTATCATCCTTGTTGCTCGAAACTGTGTATATAAGGGTGTGGGGCAATGAATAAATTATCACCAATATTCGTAGAAATCATCATTGTTGAAAAAGAATCTTCCCAGTAATTGTGAATAGAGAAATAAAAATGTTGATGAATGATCGCAAATTAATTAAGTAATAAATCTTGGTGCAATGTAAAAAAAATTGCAAGTGCATAGAAAAATAAAAATTGAAATTGAATTTATACGTGTAAAGAAACTCGTATCTTATTATTCCTTAATAAGAATGACGACAAATTAATAATAAATCTTGGTGCAATGTAAAAAAAATGTAAAAAAAATTGCACGGAAGAGAAGAGAATTGTTGAATTTATATACGTGAAAGTGCGAAACTCGTATCTCGTTATTTCTTAATAACAATGATCACAAATTAATAATAAATGTTGGTGCAATGTAAAAAAAATTGCAACTATATAAAGAAATAAGAATTGTTGAATTTATATACGCAAAAGTGCGAAACTCGTATCTCGTATATTTATGCGCGAATCGAGTAACATTGGGCGCGACCGCTGTTTCGATTCTTTGTTTCGTCTGTTTCCCCCTCTTCAACCGCCGTACGACGCGACATTGCGAGCTGAATTTAGTAAAGCAAAGGCATCGGCACGATTCGCATCTACGTAATATAATTTATTTCTATTTCCTTTATTAAATATATCCTTTATTTTTTTGATCGAATTATTTGATTACATCGCCTAATAAAAATTAATAATAAATCTTGGTGGACAAAATTTTTTGTAATACGATACAAATACAAAGTGTTTCGCATAATTAGATTAAATCGTAAGATTAAAATAACAGAATACTGGTAGAAATTTTCTTTCGATATTTCAAAAATCAACATACAGAATGATCCACACGATTCAGATCGATAACTTCGTCGCAAACGTAAAAGGGGAGAAAAATAACATTTAATATTGGTTGCGTTTCTTCTTGCAAATGCAAAAAGTAGTTCATTGACGGTTGACGAAAATTACGAATCCGAAAATTATTCATCTTGTTCGTTTCGTTCCTCCTGATCGAATATTTTTTTTTTGAAAATACAAGCAAGCAAAAAAAAAAATTGATCACGTGAGAAAACAAAATAGAAAGAGAAATAAAATAATGAAAATCCTCCGCCATAGCGGGAAACGAAATTATCGAAACTCAAAAAAGTCAAAATAATGCTAGAGGATAAAACTAATTTCAATCCCTGGAAAGAATGTGGCGGTGGTGGTGTCTTTTATCGAGCAACGCTTCGGCTGGACGCGATCAAAGTTTACAAGAAGACAAATCCTCGGCATTATTGAATTAAGTTTCGAAACGTAAGTGGATCTTCGATCTAGTGGAGGAAAAAAGGTAGGACAAATAGAGGTCGGGATGTCGTCTTATTCCGTGCAGTTTCACAAAGTGTGGCTTACCTTTAACGGCTCGCTCGTTAAAAGCGGGCGGATTTACCATTGGCGGTGAAATTGGCCGGAGATGAAGCGGGACCGAAAGAATTCCAGAGGAGGGAAAAAGGGCCATCTCGGACGAGGTCAAGGTGAACGGTCTTAATTATCGACACATTGGACGTAATCGTGGCTCGATTTATTTTTTTTTTTTTTTCGACAAGAATTGGGATCTTTTTATCATTTGAAAAAAACGAATTATAGATTATATGATATTCCTTTTTCCATCCTTTTATATTATTTTGATTCTCTTTTTTGTACTTGTGCATTTTTGATGCCGATTATACTCGAATAGATGATCGATGATTTATATTCATTTTCAACGAATGGATTCAATGGAGACAATGCCGAGAAGGCAATTTACTTGTGCAATTAAGAGCTGTATATATATATATGCGTTTGTTTGTTCGATAATTATAATATAATAAATTTGTTCCGAGAATTATCGACGAAATAATAAAATGGCTACGTGCTAAATTTATCCTCCCAAGTTCGTTGAGAATTTATTTTCAAAGATTTTTCTCCCCGTTCTTGCCACGTATATTTTCATTCTCTGCACAGCCCACGCCATGCCTATAAGAACACGATAAAATCAAATTTTTTTGATAGGAATATTGGTTTGCGAAATATTTCTTGATGGATTGTCGACGTTTACATCGAGCGGAACGAGATATCGATGGCCGTTGAAAAGATAGGAAATCGTGGGAGAATTTTCAAAGAAAGCATTTAAAGCGTATCACGTCTGGAAGGAAATAAAGTGTGGCGTCGAAGAATTTTTTAACAGAATCGAATGAAAAGGTGATATTTTGTCGACGAGAGGCGTTTAAGTGCTGGAATAAATGGATCGAAATGGTGATTGTGAGGGAAAAGGAATGAACGTTGCAAAGAGCGTTGAACGCGTGTCGAATTATTTATTTGCAATTGCGAATCGGAGAGAGAGAGAGAGAGAGAGAGAGACTCTCGCGTTTATACGCATTCTTTTCCAAATTTCTCCCTCGATCGAAGAAAAATACTTCTCTTTCTGAAAAATACACCGACTGTGCTTCGACGATCAAATGTAATATAAGAAAAAGAAAAAAAAAAAAGAGATAGAAGAAAAGAGAAACGTAATCTTTTTTAAAATGGAAGGAAATATGATAGTTCAGCGATAAAAAGGAGAGGAATAATGAATGTAAGAAAATCTGAAGGAGGCAGGAAATTTTCGAATTTTATTAAAAATTAGGAGGATCGTGGAAACATAACGCTCCTCCTCGAAAACTCGAAGTATACGAGAATTTCAATAATAATGAGGAGAAGAGGGGGGGAGAGGAGAAAAATCGAGGATATCCATTCCCTTCTTCTTTATTCATATTCCCGTTTGGCCGAGGATAGAAGACCCCCGGTGATTCCTCTTTCCTTGTCTGTGTGTACACAACACGCAGACGGTGAGGAAGAAGGTCTCTCCTCCTCGTCGCCGATCGGTGAACACTCGGTGTAGCTCGGAGTCCGCCATTCGGTACGCGAGAACCGGAAGCGAACCGGTCCATTCCGTGGCGATTTATTTTCGTCCCGAACATCCTCAGTTTCGAGGATCTTTCAGATTTTCCCTCTGAATTTTTCCCCCTGAAAAGAAGCGAAGTATTTCTTTCGTTACGAAGCGAAACGAAATTTAATAAATCGTTAACGAAACTTTTCGAAATTTTCGTATCTTTCGTATTTCTTCGATTGGAAATCGTCGAGCGTGCAATTTTTACGAAACCACGAAACAATTAAGGGATTTAGTTGGAGAATTGGATAAAATTTAATTATTGATTTCAAGCGTGATTCGAAGCTTGGAAAATTAATCAATTTTTTCTTGATCTTTGTTTCTTAAATTTGAAATCTTAAGTTATAGAACGATTCGTATCGATTAATCTTATATTATTTTTTTTTTTACGATCAGAAATATATTGGAATCATCGACAAGTTTAATTATTCGAATGGAATTAAGGATTAATTATGATCAAATTTTTAATGCTAACTAGACGTGTATTTTTAATAATTTCCTTAATAATTCTTAATGGATGGATTTGATAATCGATCAATTCCTTTAATATTAGAATCTCCAGATGTAGCATTCCCACGAATAAATAATATTAGATTTTGATCATTACTAATATCAAAGAAATTTATTTTATCCAAGACCGGATAAACGGGATGAATTCGTCTCCTTCAGTTGATTTTGCTATTTTTTTTCTCTTCGCACATACAACTATTACAACGAGAACAAATTTTTCGCCATCAATATCCCATATCAATTGAAAATCGATTTTTAATGCCGAATATTATTTTAACAAGAAGAAAAAGATTGATTAAAAAATTGTTTTACTTTTATCCATTTTAATTGTATAAATTCGTTTCATGTTTCAGCCCTTTATGGTGCCCATGAGAGTGTTGATGTTGTTAGGGGGTGGATTGTTGGCAGTGTTTGGAAGCGAGGCGATTGAGCTAGGAGGTGCCGGACCTTTGGCAGTGGTCGCAGCCGCCTTTATTAGCTGCTATTTCTGGCAGAAACAAGGCTGGGAAGTGGACGACGTAAGTGTACATACATATAATTCGCAACGAAAAGGCGAAAAATTTTTATTTGTACGATTATTTTCACCTTGGAAATTTTTTTATTATAAATTTATCGCGTCGTATTTCAACGTCTTCGAGGGGAAATAAGTTTCACAGTTTACGCTTGATATTTGCTCCCTCGAGCTAAGGTCGAATCGTAACGAAACTAGTAGTAAACTCGAAGCGTACCGCTCGCTTCATTAATTTTATGGACGTCCCTCTTTCCCTCCTTCTCCTTTAAATGAAAATGAACCATCGAACGGAAGTGCCTCCATCGTAGTCTTCGTTAAATTAATTACCTTTAACGCAGTTAAAAAAATAATGCCCCTCCGCCCTTTCAAGGGATCTCGCTCTTCGTCATCTTCGAATATTTTCATACACACTTTCCAAGATTTCTTTTCGTGTTACGGGAAATGTACTTGGAAACTACGATTAATTCACTTCACATTCTAACATCCTTCTCAACCACTCTTCCAATGAAACAAATCTACACCAATCCAATTTAAACTCGTATCAAAGAGATCGAAACCACTACTACCCGCTCCAGGCAAACATTAACCAACTTGCATCTTATACTTGGGGAAAATCGTAATTCCAAGGATCGAAACTCGTATCTTATCCCTAGCGTTGAACACTTGAAAACTCTCTCGAGAAAGGATGTTAAAAAATTAGAGTTGTGGAAAAAATATATCGTTTAACGATTTCGATATAAATTATCTTCGAAGCGCACAGTTTCTCTTACGAAGATAACAATTTTAAAAATGATTTCGTCGAAAGGTGTCGATTGTTTATTTCGAAGAAACGAAGAGATACAGGTCGCAGAGATAACAGAATTAATCGAAATGTATCCAAGTTATATTTAAAATATCGAATCGCACAAAATGTACGTCGTGTTGTTACCGAAAACCTTCAACGATCAATTTCAATTAACGAGATCAATCTACGAGCCTATCTCGTACGAACCTTAGACAACGTGCGCTTTGAAAAGGGATTTTTAAAACGATTGGGAAAAAGTGACGTTGGTGGCAATAATTCCTCGAGGTTGGTGAAATATTCAAGGCGACGTTCGAGCTCCAGCACACGTAGCCGTCGGTATGTCGACGAGCCGACACGTACCCTTCGTGACGCGACTCGTAGCCAGATATTATGCGGTGCATCGTGACCGATACGTTTCGAACGATTACGACGTGGACGGCGAGCAGCCACCGCGTCGAAAATAATCATCGATACGATCGATCGACTCGAATAAGAAAGATCGATCGTTCGTGTGATTGACGCGAGTCGTGAGTTGGAAATTGAACGATGTTTTAAAATTTGTCCGCACTTTTTCTCTTTGCGAATGGTATTTTCCATGTATTATCGAAATATCGTTGTTACAAAATATTCACAAATATTCACCAGATTTTAGTGTGAATTAACTTTTTATCGTAAAGATATTCATATAAATGAATTATCCCGGAAATAAGGATGTAATTAAATAGAATTCTATTCTTGTTTCGAGTATTAACGAAAATTGTTTTGTTAACGAATATTAGTTTGATTCGTGAGAGAAAAAAATTGAATTGGATTAAACTTATAGGAAAAAATAAAGTAAAAATGGCAAAGATTGTAAAGATGGACGGAATAAGTATATATAAATATCGAAGATCCGACAACAAAGTTCGTAAATTCATTTCAAAACACACGCTTCACTTACGAAGATCCTCGAAAATTTTTAGAAATGATTTTCTTCCGTGATTAATTTCACATTCTTAATTATCTTCGAAAAAACAAAGATACGTCATAGAGATAATAAAATTAATTGAAATGTATCCAATTGTCTGTTCAAAATATCGAATATTCCGAAGGTATTTCGAATTTTTAAATTTTGCACGTTGTTTGCCCGACATTAATTACCAACGTTTCGTTATATTTAGTTCGATTGACGAAAAGCTTTTGTTGTTTCATCCGCCGGTAGTTAACGTTCTATTGTCCCGATATTAGTCAATTTCTATCCGTATTTCACGCAATTGCCGATCGAACAAAAGGTATCCTACCGTACAGGTTTGTCGATTAATTGTTAAAATTATTTTCCTCCTGGTAAATAGAACAACAGTGTTTCGTTTACTTTCGTTTGATTACCATTCCTTCTTTTTTCAACGATATCAAATAAAATAAATCATCGATATTCCGTGGAAAAAATTACGAGAGTAATTTACAATATTTGATTAATAATTGTTTCTATACAGCGTAATTGTATTTAAAAAGTGGAAGAGCATCGAAAATCGAATTTGGAAACGCGTTCGGATATCGTATCTAAGAGGGGGGAAAAAAGAAAAAATTGAACGTGAAATTTTATTATGACGATACGAAACTCTGTTGGTGAAAAACTTTTTTGTTTCGAGGATGCACCTATAATCGACTTGCAATCTCGTAGAATACAATTTTTCTGGATAATGTAATATCCAGAGGCTGACACTGATTTATGAACGTAAAATGTCCCTGGTCACATTTTTCAATTTATAACGATCACGCTATACAGGTGAATTTATATAATAAACGTAAATATCGACCGCGATGTTATTGACTTGGTGAAAAGAGAGAGAAAGAAAAATTTTTCGAACAAAACTTATTATTAAAAGAATTAAGATCGAGCCAAATATTAATTCGGATCTCGAGAACGCAATGTGTTCGTAAACGCAGAGGAGGCGCAAACCGATTAATTTAAGGATAACTGGTATAACTTGAATCGCAGCTTAAGTCAGCATTGTGCGTTCCAATCTTGGCTTGGAACTTGAACACAAGAAGAGCAAAGCGACTTAGAGAACTGCCCTTTGTCTTTCTCGCCTATTGTATCGTGTCGTTGTTCCGTTTAACACACGATAACGAAATATCTCTTCAATTAAAAGAAATAGTATATCCGTGTTTATTTTCTATATTTTATACGATCTGTATTTTTATTATATTTTCGATTATTTGTAATCCTAATTCGAAAGTTGTGCAAAGTAGAAAGAGGAATAAAGAAGAACAGTATATTAGGATGAATTAACATTTTTGTGGATGTTTATTCTGATCGTTAATTAAATGCATTTTATGGAATATTCTCTCTGCTTTTATTATTTCGATGAATCGATTAATCAAAATGATTATCCTGGTTCGATTCGATTGTTGCATCGAGGAGGGAGATTGGATTCTACAATACTATATTTCCAATGATTAATTTTAAATGTTTAATTTCAAATTAGCGAGGGAGAAAGAGAAGGGTGATCGATCGTTGATTAATTAAGCTCGATAAATTCATTTTGCAAAGATTTGACTTTAATTGGAACTCGTAATTGCGGAAAATTTAGATTTTGGATTTTCTTTTATCATCGATGTAACGAACCAAGTTGATTTAATTTTTATCGTCTGCGCTACGTCTGATTAAAATCAATTACGATTTCTTTCTAGTTCGACAATTCTGATAGACAATTCAATTCAATAGAACAAATGAACAAAGTCGTCGAAACCTTCTCTCTTGTTTCCCCCGATAATTTATGGAAACGGTACGCTATTTGGATCGTAAACCAGACTTCGTAGACCTTATGATAGAGCTTAAATTGTAAGATAAATAATGCCAAAACATCCTATGCCGATACACGTTTTTCACAAATGCGTGCCATTTCCTTCTTCCCTGTCGATGTAATTAATACCGTAAATTTAATGGGATTCAATGGAATTATTCCATTGAAACCCGAGTCTTTGATAAATTCATCTCCTACTTCATTTCACGGAGAACGAAAAGTGCATTGAAGTTTACAATCACGCTGTAGTTTCATAAATTTTACTTCCGATAAATCCAGCGTACCGTGATTCAAAAGGCGTTGAAAGCATACATCTAATCCCCACCCCCGCCAATAATTTTTCTCTTCGTTCGTGTTTTTTCGATTCGAACGATTTTCATAAATTTCACTTTTTAATAAACTCGCCGATTCAAAGAAAACACGTCCAACCAGCAATTAACCTAACCTCCCCCCCCCCCCTAATAATTTCCCTCGAATATTAATTTTCATAAATCTTAATATTTCAACGACTCGAAGGTTAGGTTGCATACATTTAACCTTCTCTTGATAACATCTCTCTTCGTTCTGTTTTGCATAAGACACGAATTTTTTAATAAACTCGAAACGAATTGGGAACATAAATCGAATCCACCGAATCGAATCAATCAAACCAACCAACAATACTTTCATAACCTAACATTTCGTTCAAGAAGCTATCGATATCGCGTCTACGAATTCCAATTTTCACCAGTTTTATTTTTCAATAAACCTGGTGGTGTAAGGCTGAAAGCACGCAGCCGCTTATCGTGAACGTTCGAAGGAAAAATCCGCCATTGGTCAACCCCCCCTCCCTCCAATAACGGCGAACGTGTTAATATTTCCCGCGGTTCGACTCCCATAAATCCTTCGAGTCGAAGGCTCGGCACGTAGCTCGAAATACGATTTTCATTTATGCACGGGTCGTTGCTACGCCCTGTCAATCTTTGATCCCTTGATCGCGAAATTGATCCGCGATAAGGTTGCCTTGGATTCGAATTTAAAAAATATATCGATTCGTCGTTGCCTTGTTTTCGAAACGAGGGGATTGCTCCACGGATCAACGTTTTATGGCGTATCGCAAGTATTGGCCAGTCGTTATTTTTATTCGTTACTTTTTCGATTATAATTCGCGCGAAATCTTTGTTTATCCACATTTCGATAAAATTCGACAAATCCGCGCTAAGAAATATTCCGCTCAAATCGAATTCTTCGTTAAATCATGAAAAGCGACACTCCGTGATTCGCAAATTCTTTTAATACTCTTCTATCGATTGAAAATTTCTCCACTATCGCCACGAGTAATAATATTAGAGGGACAATACGATTCAGCCTCGTTTCGATAAATTAAAAATCCACCCTAAGAAAATATTGTCCCGAAATAAAATTCTGATTAAATGATGAAAAACGACTCGTGATTCG